ATAATAACTCAATAGTCTCAACTGACAGTTTGTGTGAGTACTCTGGACTATTCATGACTATTCTACTTTTGTACTATTGACACTATTCACTATTACACTAGTGTGTTGTCATAGTGTGAGTGAGAGTGTGATGAGTGACGATGACATAGACATCATTCATCATAGTGAATCATAGACTGTTGATTTTTATTAAATTAAATCAATCCTTAACATTATTTATGGACTAGATAGAATGAAATAATCACTTCTAAGTGTCCTGATTAAACACATTTATATCTCAAAGAATGAAACTGGGCAGTTGTTTTGTGTATATTACTATAATACTATTGGACCTAAAGTCAATAAAGAGTAGGGTGTGAGTGTGAGGTGTGGAAGAAAAAAAAACGAGTTGACGAGGCGAGGTGAACAAAGAAATGTTTAAGGTTGACATCATCAAACGTGTTCACAAAGTCTCAAATACTTTTTAAAGCATTGCATTTACCTGGCTGTATAGGAAACATTTATATATGTTTCCTGAACACTGGAATCCAAACGGAATGGATTTAAGAATAATTTTGTTTAACACTCTACCGCCGCCTCAAAACATTCATGGCGGTGAATGTGAGTGTTTCCCCTTCCGTTGACAGAAATTGGGTCACGGCGCCTCGATTTGACTTTTCCATTTGCTACTGTAAACATAATGATTTTTCAACTTTAGGGTTGAAAGTCGATTACGACAGATGTATAAATATGCATAAATACGCTAAAGCCTTGTAATATTGGAATAGCCCATAGCCTCTACATTACACAATAATTTTTCTAAGAAAATATTTACCTCATAGAATAGATCTTAAGAAAGATACCATACAAATTATTGATTTTACATTAGCGTTAATAATCAAGGACTAAAAAAATACCCACGAGTATGTAAATGACAGGGGGGTCCAAAGTGACAGGCATATAATTATGACAAAGGTACAACAATGAAAGGGTGACCAAAATTGAGAGGGCCATGTTATACACAAGTAAAACAGAAAAGCTAACATGAATCACAAATAGTTTTCCTTTTAGCGCAGTGGCGTAGGAAGGGTTGCGGCATTTTGGGCTGACTACAGATTTTTTTCGTGGAAAAAGGAGGGCGGGGGGGGGGGGGGGGTCAATGACCTTTGGCCCGCCCAGCCAGGGGAGGAGCACCAACACTAGCTACGCCACCACTTTCTATACAGCTTTTTAAAAACGTATTTCGAAAAATTGGCAGGCACACTAAATTATTGAGGGCTAACACACAAATAATAGAGATGCCAATACTAAAAGTAGGCAAGTGAGATGTATTTCATAAAGCATGACAATTTACTAACGTTCTTTTTTTATGTCTAGTGTGAAAGCACTCAATCAGTGGCGGAAATATGCGATGGGAACGTGATACGCCAAGTGAACGCTGGAAAAGAGGGCGGGCGAAGCGTAACCGGAAATTTGTTTGAAAGAACAAATTATGGGTCAATTCTTTTTTTTTTTTTTGAACGCATTTTTTGTTTTACTTTATAGTATAGTGCGTTCAAAAAGAAATTTGACGAAAATAAGATGGTGTGAACTGATAAAAATAATTCGATCAAATTTCCGTTCGACCAACCTTCCAACGAGCAATTTTCCGTCGACGAAATTTCTTTCAAACAAATTTCCGGTAACCCGGACAAAGGCGTGGTCACGGTCATTACATGATGGGCAAAACATGTAATGTAGTGCTAACCTCTGGGAATTTTATTTTGCGCCCTAACAGAATTACAGCCATACTTCATACCTAGAGAATCATTCAATTTTTTTTTTATTATGAGACTTATTTTTTTTTTTTCAATTTTTTTTTTTTTTTTTTTTTTTTTTGTTTTTTATTGGTTTTTTTTTTTTTTTTTTTTGTTTTTTTTTTTGTTTTTTTTTATGTTTTTACTGACGCCCCTAGATGGCTATGATACTGGGATATCAAAAAGTGGTGGGGGGGGGGGGCAAACGAAAATAGCCCAGATGAAGAATTAACAATTGGGGTTTTTAGGGGGAGGGGTGCCCGGGGTGGGGAGACGACCCCACGGATCAGTGTGAGAGAGATGCAGGGTGCAGTCCCCTGAAAGTACTGTCCTTACATTAACATTTATATTATATGAAAATCCGTAAATTATAAAAAAGTTCTCCATTATTACAAATAAACAAAATTTGTAGCTTGGCAACTTTTTAACATGATAGATATTAATCTACGTCATAAAACACGTGCCAAAAGTTATGTGGTTTCTTGTTCTTATACTAATATGCGTTATCTCAAACCAGTGGCGTAGCGAGGGTGTTTGGCGCCCGGGGACAAGATTCGCGCCCGGGGACAAGATCCATTTTTGGCTCCCCTTTTTCTTTTTTTCAACTCTCAAACCCATTATTTTCATCAATAAAATAATATCAAAGCACATTTTGGCGCCCCTAACTAGCTGGCGCCCGGGGACATCTGTCCCCCCTGCCCCCGCCACGCTACGCCTCTGTCTCACACCGTAAGTTGCCGACTACTGGGGCCAGCAATAATTGGAAAGAAAGGCCTTCATCTACAAACAAAAATCGTTCTAACTGAATAAATCTGTCTTTGACAAATTATTGTAACTTTTAGCACAATAACCACGTTGTTTGTATGTAAATAAATACATAGCCGATTGAATTATACATGATTATTTGTATCGCATATTGCATTTTTATGGTTTGATACAGCAGTCAGCAACCTGCGACTCTCTTTTCATTTAATATCCAACCCGCCCCATCTGCATCTGGCTAAATATATTCGAGCAGATGTAAACAACATGATTTACAAAATGACTCTTCACTTCAAAAAAGTTTGCCGAGCCCTGTTTTACCGTGTATCGGACATTATTAAAGTGACACCTGTATTCATGGAAGGATTGCTACATTGAATAAGTTGCCCAATAGTTGATAAATAACTATAAATAACCCGTACAAAAATCAAGGAAGCGCAGAACCACAGAGCCCCCACCACGCCCCCTTTTTTTCTTTATCCAGACCACTCCCCTACTTTCACCCGAGAGCCTCCAGCGCTCTCGCTTTTTGTTCTCCTACCCCTATCCTTCCCTCCTCCCCACTCTCCCCCGAATACGACTGTCGTTCCGAATCACTTTCCGAATGTTTGCAAAACGCTGTCAATCAAAGTTACATGGTTTCTGTTTACATGTGATTTTTTTTTTTTTTAAAAACTTCACAAACTCAAAGATTTTTATTCTCTTACCGGATTTGTGATGACGTTCTGAAATTTAAAAAATGCACCGAAAAAGTTGTTGGTTTTACGAGCATCAGCTTTTTAAAAAATATAAACTTTCATTTATGATAGAATATGCCAACTTTTTTTTTTCTATACGTTTGCACTTCTTTCACATGACGAAACTAATTGCGCGTGTTTCCGCCGTTTAGTGTCGTTTATTAAATGTACGCACCTGTGACGCAAAAGAAAAAAAAAAAGGAGGGGAAACGTTCCGGAGAGACAGAACGAAAGAAAGAAAGGCATGTCTGGGCTTTTCTTTTAAATAGTAGGTGAAATAGTGATGATTTCACGCGAAAAACCTATCTTTATTTTAGTTCTGCTAGGAAGCTCTTAGTAGCCTTAGCACAAACGAGAAAAATCAATATTCAGCCAACATTTTTTTTTTAACTGAAATATTTGACACCGAGAAAAAAACGTTCATAAAATATTTTGATACCGCCCAACTATGATGTGCAATGGAATGATAATTATTACTTGAAGTTCATTAAACCAATCTACAATTAAGAAATGTTAATAGATTTTTAGTGTATTTTGGCTATCCATAAATTGACGCACGCATTTTTTTTTTAAAATGAGAGAGTGGGGGAGGTTGTGGTCCATTGAATTTTTTTACTATCTAATATGAAAGCATCGAAATTGTATTTCGAATTTGTGACCATGGGGAGGAGGGAAAAAAAGGAGTGCTGGGTCTTTAATATTTTCATAAGACCTCTTCTTTATTGCAAACTTTTTAAATATTCTTTTGTAGCCCTATTTAAATTTGTTTTGTCATGGATAATTTTGAGAAATGCTAATGTATAAAGTATAAGTACATTTATGCAAAATCCCCATTCGTTTCAGGTTGAATGTTTTGTCATCCGCAAGTAGCCTATGGTACAATTATTTCAAAATAATAATTTTAGACATAGTCTGCATATGTCATATGTTTTTAAGTATTGGAAGCGCTATGTTAGTTGGACTTCCCTACCACCTACCCCATGGTGGCCACCCGCTTTTCCTCCCCGATTTTTCCAAGTCAGAAGCAATTTTAGAAACTAAGTAAAGTCTGTAAATAAGAAATGCACTAATAAAGTTAAATAAACGCGGTGGAAGTGGAAGTTTTAATAAGTAAATACTAAACTAAATAAAACATCGTCGCATGACGTTTTCGTTTCAACAAAATATTTTAATAAGATGTATAACTGGTATATATTTGTGTACGAAGAATGATGATTACTAATTTAATTTTAATAAGAAAACTGTTTTAATATATAATATATTATTTAATATTATTACTGTACTAGTATATTTTAACGACGTAGTAAGCAATTGTTATAATTATTAGCTAGAAAACAAACACTGAATAATTTTGTAGCAGTGGCTATATTTAAAAAGTTAACAATTCAGATTTTTTGTTCGATAGTATTAATAATGTGAATTTCAATCATTAATTATGATATTAAATCATTTTCCACAACCCTACCCTTTTCTACTTTCATTGACGGAAGGATTACGTTAATATTCGTACACTGGAATAAAGCGCATTTATCCCACTTGCTAGTTATCTATTATTTTAACTTTAAATGTTTTCAATATTTTCTATTATATGATTTCATAATAAAACGTTTCCATACTAAAACTAGCAAAATGAGATAATATTTGATATTTTATTTCATCTGAAAATATTAATTTTATTGGAACTACTTTCTACACTAACGGACACTTAAAAACCTATTTACAAACCAAGCGCACAGTCTTCCTTTTCAGTGTTGCACCTTCTACCATGAGGTAGTAGTAATGATATTCTCTTGCGATTTTAGCTATTTATTTTCATATTTATAGATTTTAAACTCTCTTTTATAGTAAATTACATTGAAAAATGCATTGATATTGCATGAAGTTACATTTCTAAATAACATTATTTATTTTCTTTAATGATTTTGGTATTTTATCGCTTGCACAACGGGGAGTAAGACAACACAGCAAACTGTTAAAAAAAGATGGCGGCATGGACACATTGTGCCCCAAAATCTGATTCTGCTACATTTTCTTGTCCATTAATTTCATTTTATCTGTTTTCAGTACCCTTCGCCTTCAGAAGCGTTTGGCTTCAAAGGTGCTCAAATGTGGTAAAAACAAAATTTGGTTGGATCCCAATGAAACCAATGAAATAGCCAATGCTAACTCCCGTGAGTATGAATCCAGCCCTCATTAATTGAAAATTATTTTGAAAAATTTAAGTGATAATTTTTAACTTAGTTTCTGTGAAAAATACTTAAGATGATGGACAGTGGCCAGAGGTGGTAAATTTATATAAAAGTCACAGTTGTCTATTTGTAATATTGCCCTCATGGCTGACATTTTTGTAGGCTACACTGCACACTGTTCTTGGTAGATTTCTTCTATTATATTTTTTAAAATTTAAATTAAGGGCCGTCGATCATTTTTAATGATCATTTTGGCATGTAGAGGCGATTTGGAATGTTTTTGTGCCTGGTGTTGAGGATATTTCACTGGTTGCAAGGGCCACTTAGTGAGGGTATCATGCACTGAGGGTTGGAAGGCCTGAGGCAATATGACGCAAGTGTTGTCGCCTCCACTGTTCCTTTTGAAAGCTTGTTCCAGTTCCTGAGTCTTTGGCAGGAATGAGCATTTCCTAAACTGGCTTCTCACTGGTATGAGCCGGCTGTAACTACGATGTATCATCGAATTTCAGTCACATTTTAATAGATCTTTTTTTACTTTTTCTTTCTATTTCCTATTTGTCATTCAGGTCAGAATATAAGGAAACTTGTAAAGGATGGTTTAATTATCCGAAAACCTGTGAAGGTCCATTCCCGTGCCAGAGTTCGCAAAAATGCAGAGGCTCGCCGTAAAGGACGTCACATGGGTCATGGCAAAAGAAAAGGTATGTACATCAAAATTTGTTGCATTTTCTGACATGTATTAGTAACCTATATCCTAACGATTTTTGCTCCTGTATTTCATTACACTAAAAAGAATTAATGATCTTACACTTACTTCTTTTCATTTCTAGGTACTGCAAATGCCCGTATGCCTACTAAAATTCTGTGGATCAGGAGGATGAGGGTTCTTCGCAGGCTACTTAGAAAGTATAGAGAGGCCAAAAAAATCGATAAGCACTTGTGAGTAAAAATTTCAATCTAAATACTTCTGTATAATTTGTATAGCTAGCTGGTAATTGTTTTTAAAATTTAAAGTCATCAGTGATTGCTGCAGAATGAGACTTAATTTTTTTTTCTTTTCATAATTTCAAGGTACCACGAGCTGTACATGAAATGCAAGGGTAATGGATTCAAGAACAAGAGAGTTCTCATGGAGTTCATTCATAAGAGAAAGGCAGAAAAGGCCAGATCCAAACTGCTCAGGTACATGTTTCTCTTGATAAAATAAAAGTTTCTTATTTATGGCCAATGCACAATCTTTGCTGACTTATGTATAGTTTGTGCTTTATAATTATATTGCAAATCTTACGATTTAAGGTCGTTTTTTTTTTTTTTTGTTGTTGTTTTTTTAAATATCACTTTTTAATTTTGTTCTTGTAGCGACCAAGCTGAGGCTCGCAGACAGAAAGTCAAGGAGGCTCGTCGTCGTCGTGAAGAGCGCATTGCCCTAAAGAAGGAAGAGCTGTTGAAAAATATTGAAGAGCCTAAAAAATAAGTTAATTAAATCTGAATTTTATGTCACATAAAATAGATGACTTGTCTTAGTTTTTTTAAAAGTTTGTTTCATTATTTGTTGATCACAAAGTAATTTGAGTTAAGCAAAAAAGTGGGGGGGCATGAATTTCCAGTTGTCCAACTCATGTAGCATCACAAATTTAAAAATACATATTTGATCTCTTAGGAACTAGAATTATTTTTATTTAATTACAAGAAAATACAGAATTTAGCCAATCAATGTTCTTATTACAGGCCAGTATTTGAATTTGGGCAACCCATTCAAAGTCACTGTACCCAGTCCTCTGTTTTTTTTATGAGCATCTGATGATAATAATGTGTCATTTATATAGCTGTTACCAGTATATCTTAGGTACTCTACGTAAAACAATAAGTTTTGGGTACCTAGTACTAGATCAGATCTGGACTTTGTGTGGGATTTCAATGTCAATACTTGTCCACCACTGTTATCCTTCATCCATAACAATAACATATTTATTTTCCTGGTGTTACCTATTCATACATGCGTAGGTCTATAATTTTATTAGGTACGCTCACAATTTTTTCGAACTAGGATACTGGGGTAATTATTTTTAAGTTAAAGTTAAAGGTAGACAAGTTTTACTACATTAATTACCGGTACTTGATTTTAGGGATGGGGTTTTCAAATTCAACAAATATTTTGAAGTGTGAAGCACTGTTACTGGATTGCATCAATACAAGTTACAACTAAGTAATGTTATTTATTAAAATATAGTTACTAGTGGCTAAGACACTTCATAATAATTAATACCGGTAATATTGAAAAGGAGAATCTGAATCAAGAGTTTTTCCCACAAAGACCATTTCAAAAAAATATTTATAGTAATTTAGATCTATGGGTTTGACTTTGACCAACTTGAAATTAATTTAATGAATAAACATTGATTGTAAATACTGGTTGTAATTGATCATAATAAAATAATAATGCATGGATATATGAGACATACATCATACAGTAGTTTATGTGACCTTTCATCCATTGGCTTAGCCAGTACTTTTATCCTGGGGTAGACCTTGGGTTTTCCCTCCCAACTCTCTGGAAAAAACACAAAATATTGGCCAACTATATATTATCACACTCATGAAACTCAAACCACTTGTTGGGGGGGGGGGGGGGGGGGGGAGAAAATAAAAAATAAAACAATTAAAATTAAAACAAA